GAAATAATAATAAAATAAACTATTGATGGTAATCAATGAGATGGTCACTAAAAATGAGTATGTATGAGTCTCATGTACCTATGGTTGAATTAAATATTGATGGTAATTAGATATGAAAAATTGTTCAGATACGGGTCTTTATATATGTATGTATAGATGGATGTCTGGGAGGGTATTTTGTGTGGGAAAATATTTTAAAATAGAACGTACTTTTATAATAGTATAAGGTAAGTAGATTTACTTGTAAGTTGCCAAAAAATAAGTTGGAGTATCCTAATTGGCCATTTGGTTCACTGCAATTGTACTTGCAACAAATTTTACATGCATGAAACAATGCATGTTTCATCTGTTATAGGAAATAACATCAAATTCGTACTCTGGATATCTATAATTTTGTTGTGACATATATATTTCCATATCCAAATCTAATATTTGGTTATTTGCAAAAGTTGTTAAATTTGAAATTTTTTGTAGTGGCATATGCATATCTATTGCAATGAAGTAAATGTTTCTTTAAAAATGTAAAAAAAAAACTTTTTGAGATAAAATTCACTAATTTGCTAAAATGATGTTGTTGTTTTAAGTTTCTTGGTTGATGCAAACCTGCAACATTTGTTGTGGCCAAATGACCGCGACAAATGCTACAACTTTTTTCTACAAAAAGTACATCCAATTGCTATAACCAACGACCTTTATGGAAATAAAACATTGTAAATAGATTTTTTGTTGCTACATCCAATTCCTAAAGTATCATCAATATTTATTAGTTTTTTTATGATGTTTATTTTTTTATGATAAACTATGATATTTTTTTCATTTAATATGTGATAGTATATCTTAGATTATTTGGAATTGATTATGACAAAATTATATTGGAATATATTGAAATTCTATTTTTCTATTGTTATTGTATTTGTTTACATGGAAAAAAAAATTATTATTTTATATTTATATCTTTTTATGATATAAAAAGTAATAAATATTTAATGAGTAAGCGTTATGATATGCTTCAGAAATATCTATAAAATTAAGAAAGGGAAAAGTAAAGAAAAAAATTTGTGCAAAATGACCAAATTATTCTCACGTTTTCAGTGAGATAAATGTCAAAATTTTCATTTCATTCGTAACTTTTTTATCAGCATAGATAAATTAAAAAAAAGTAATAAGTAAATTCTTGCCAACCATCACCTTGGCAGCTTATGGGTAAAAAAACGTACCTACCATACTCCCTTTAAAAGTACGAGTTGGGAAAATCTTTTCATGGTCAATATCATCCTTAACTTTTTTTAAATATTATATTATTATCCTAATCTATTCAAATTTCCTATCTTCTTTGAGTTTATAATTAAATGATTTATTCTATCCATAAAGAGACTTAACATGTTATTGGATAAATATGATATGTTTGATATAATTCAAATCTTTTACTTATTTTAATTTTGTAGAGTAATCTAAAAATATATGCCAGCCAGCACCTAAAAGTTTTTGGACCTTGTAAAAAATACCCTCTAAGTTTTTAAATTATAAAAACACCCTTACAAATTCAAAATTTTATTAAAACATCTTGAAAATTATAAATTTTACTTATTTCAATTTAGTGAGAAATCTGAAAAATATATGCTAGCTAAAAAATGAAAGTTTTTAACATTGGAGAAAGTATCATGTAAGTTTTGAAAATGTAAAAAACTCCTAAAATTCAAATTTTCTAAAAAACACCTTGAAAATTTTAAACCTATAAACACACTATAAGCCTACAAATAATACAAACAACCGCTAAAAATTTATAAAATTTGTAATAAACACTCTAAATTTTTTACAAATTGCAAGATAAAATCCTCAAGATTGTAAAATTTATAAAGATCCTGATAGTTTCCAACCTAACAGTACATTGGAAATATATGAGTTACAAATATTCCCTGCATAATTTATAATTTAGAGAAAACACCCTTAAAGTTTCAAAAATTACAAACAAACACTCAAAATTTAAATTTTACAAAACACAGTCTGAGAATTTCAAACTCATTAGTAAATTAAAAATATAGGAATTATAAATAGTCTATAAATAATTTACGATCTATAGAAAGGCCTATAAGTTTAAAAATTACAAAAAACCACCAATATTCATAATTTACAAAAAAACACCATGATAATTTCTATCCTATAGACACTAAAATAAATATAAAAAATTACTAGTAACCCCTAGAAAATAAAAAAAATTATAAAAAATATCATACTCCCTTTTAAAATATAGGTTTAGGAAAAAGTTTTCGTGGTTAATATTACCCATAACTTTTTAAAAAGAACATAACTAATTAAAAATCTATTAGATTTGAAATTTACAAAAAAAAAAACAAACTTAAAGTTTAGTTCATTCCAAATTACCCCTCCAAATTTTGAAAATTTTCAATGATTTTTTTGTAGTTCCTTGATTTCAATGTAATTTTTAATAGTTTTGTGTATTTGTTAATTATAAAAGTTTAGGGTGTTTGTTTTTACAATTTTAAAAACTTGAGGGTATTTCTTATGTAGTTTTCTAAATTTTTATTGTGTTTTTAGTATAATGCATAGATACATCAACTAATAATGATATTGAAGAGTAAGTCATTCTTAAGATGTACTAGGCTATAGTTAAGTGTGCACATCACTATTCCTAGACAATGTAGTTTATACACACACAAAATTTCAAACAATCTATATAGTGGTTAAAAGATTCTTGACTTTAGTGTACTATTTTTTATATAAAATTATATTTAATGTGAACCCACCATATAATTTTAACTGTAGTCATTATAATTTTAATGTGTTTAATCAATTGACTATATAGGTATATAGACCATAAATTACTTTACTTTCTCGCATGAACTAATATTTTGCACTTAATAATTTAAATTATTACTTTTAAATTATATTTATTTATTTACCTACAGGATAATATAATTTCAATTCCTATTTTTTGCTTGAGATTTATTTTACAGTTACACGTATCAAATTAATAACTAAAACAATAATTATTTATGCTTAAATTAGGATGATTGTAATTGGTCACTCACTATAAAATTTTTATGAAGGTATATACCTTACTTTCTATAGCTCTCTACACTGCCCATGTATATTTTATAAATTAGTTGTTAATTTGACGTATTAAATTACTTTTCCTTTGTAGAAATTTCTTCTTTGACTTTTGGATTATGTAATCACTATGTCACCATTCTAGCATAGAAAGGACCTCATTCTAAATGGCTTCAAGCCAATGTTTAAATTGAACTGAAGTATATATTATTGCTACTATGTATATATATATTTTTAAGAAAATCATGTTGACACTTTTTAAACAGAAAAGAATATTCTAACCTCTGATATTATAAAAATAAAATATAACTAATTGAGTGAGTAACAAAAGAGGACTTACATCAGAAAAGTGTGAATAATAAGATAAAGAGGAAAGAAAATGGTATTGCCAACAGTATTACTAGTAGCAAACTACTATATTAAGTTAACCTATTTTGTGGAGCCCAACTACTAGCTATAAGCATCAACGTTTCCATATATATACTTTATAATTTATTAAAAAGGGTATATAATCTTATATAATAAAATTGACTTAATACTGAATAGTAACATTATTGTAAATGAGAAATTACAAAGATGTTAGAGACTAACATGTATGTATTTAAGATTTCAAGACGAATATCTTAATAACCTATTTATATAAGCAAGCCCACTTTGTCACCTATTCTGTTCACTTTTCTCCTCGCTCATTCTCCACCAATTTTGCTATCATGCTCAAAGAGAAATAGAATTCATGCCAGTGAGGTCTTCTCTCCCTCTATACCTCGATCTCATATTTTTTTTAAAATTAGATTCTTTAATTCTTTTTTAATAATTTCTTGGACCCATTTCATGCTTCATTCTATGAAGTGCCTTGTTAGATTCAATTTAAATATACTTTTATTTCAATTGTTATTTTTTCTATTTATGGGTCAATTAATCACCAGATTGTTTAGGTTTTTTTCACTCAATTCATATTTTGAATTAACGGTTTATTTTAGGAGAATTTTTAAAAAGATCACTTTTTAAAAATATTAGAATCGACTATTTTACATAATAATTAACAAAATTGACCTCTTTTTTACCACACCATCAAGATTGGCAACAAAGAGGTTGATTTTGTATAAAAATTATCTTTAAAATATATGAGACTAATAGTCCTGTGTAATTAGAGAACATTAATTACAAAAGTAATTAAAGTCAGAAAATACACGGGACTACCATTCTTGTGTATTTTGCAGTCAGAACCAGAAAATACATGAGACTACTGTATATGTCCTATATACAATATATTTGCTTTAGGAAAGTGAGTTATAATAGCATTTTCTATTCACATTGTTTGGAGTAAGATTTGATAGAGACCTAGCATCAAAGAGATTTTTTTTATATTTAAAGTACATGGCGAAATATATCATAATCTCCCTGCTCTAATTTCCTAAGAAAACAATTCTTCATATTTTTAGTTTTACTTCTATGGTATGGAGAATGAGCTATAAAATTAAATAAAAATATTAGATAATGCAAATATGAGTGAAATAACAACTAAAAGTTAATATGAATATGAGTCAAACCACAACTAAGAGTTTAATGGACATATTGCAAGTAAATTAATATGTAAAATTCCTTTGCGAATTGAATGGTCACCCATCTTCTAAAGACTTCAAGATACTAATAAACAAAGATTTGTACTAGATTAATGCGTTTATAACTCACAAATAGTAGATCACGTGGCGACAGTCTGAGTTGAAAAAAAATGACAATATTTTATTTGAAAGAGAGATTATTGTGTTGATAATCTATCCCGCAAAAAAACTTTATTTTCTTTTTTATTTTTATCAATTTAAATTACCATGATATTCAACCACGTGCAATGCACGTGCAATCTAACTGGTAAGCAAAAATAAATATGTTGCCAATCGTGCTCCTAATGGCCTCATTTTGTTAGGCCCAAATACTCTGGGTTTCGCATGCCCTGTAAAGCTACAGTGAAATTCACAGAACAGCAAAGGCAAAGGGTAAAAAATGGCACCAAAAATTCGTGCTCTCCTTCGTTCTTCTCTCCTCCGGCCTCTCCTCCTCAATCAAACCCAAACCCTAAAACCCCATACTCCTTCTCTCCAAAACGCTAATCCCTTCTCCAGCCGCACTCTAACCCTCTCACCCCCAAAACCTTCTCTTTTCTCCATCCCTTTCCTTTTCTCTTCAAGGGCCTTCTGTTCATCCCCTAGTGAGTTTCTTTTTTCCCCCAATTTTTTACTTTTTTTTGGTTAATTATAAGTTATTGTTACTGGGTTTTTATGGGTTTGTGAAATAATGGGCAGGTTCGTCCGATATAGTGCTGATTGGGTCCGAACAAGGGCTTAATGCTGCTCTCAGCAAGGTTCAGGGTTAGCGATAATTTACTGCTTTTTAGTTTTCTTTTTCATGTTACATGTTTTTTTGTCAGAAATGGATATTGGTTATGTGTGATTTTGTTTTAATAAAAATTGGTTGCAGATGAGAAGTTGCCGGCGATTTTCTACTTCACAGCAGCATGGTGTGGACCTTGTAAGATTTTTTGTTTGAATTTATTTGAATAATTATCTCTGAATTTGTGATGTTATATATATATATATATATAATATATATATTATATAATATATATATATATAATATATATATATATATAATATATATATATATATATAATTATAGATTTGGAGAAGAACAGGTTCTGGAAGCAGGAAACATTTTGGAGGCTTCAACGGTCGACCGCGAACTTTGCGGAGGTCGACCGCGAATGTGCACAAGACAGGGTGGTCTCTGGATTTTTTACGGTCGACAGCGGCAACATGTCCGACCGACCGTGGACCCTATAATCGATTTACGTGGTTTCTGTCGTTCTGTCCGTCGACCGCGACGTCAAGTGCGGTCGACTGCGAGTCGGTTCGGGTCTGTTTTGGTTTCCTGTTCTGTTGGGATTTGTGTTTGGTATAAATACCAACACACGTTTTAGGGGTTCTTTGGGATTGAATTGGGGATATTTGGAGCCACAGAAAAGTATTTTCTGAGCTATTGGTTAGGATTTTGTTTGGAGAGAATTAGAGTTTGTTGTGAGATTATTTGGTAAGTTCGAGTGATTCGTAATCTCAGTTTGTATTATTTTTCTCTATTAGTGAAAACCTTATCTGCTTCTTGCCCATATAATATATATATATAATATATATATATATATATATATATACTATTATCATATAGAACACGTATGTATACATACATCTATACATGTATATATCTATACGTACACACACACACATGTTTTTTAATCAATGTCTAGTTAGATATGTAGAAAATAAAAATGAATGTTGTGGATCATTAAATGTTTGCATGCATCACATTTTAAGCGATTTTTTATCAAATGTTTTGAGCAATTTATGCACTCTTGTATATGGATGGAATGTCGCAAGGTTGTATATACCGAACCATAGGTAAAAAAGAAACGTTTATTTTGACTAGTTCTTTATCTGTGGAAATAGATTTTGCTCAGGAGATGCGTGAGAGATTAGTTTAGTGCTGTTAGGTTTAGGATATGTATCAATTGAACTGTGCTAGTTTTCAAAATATTGATTCCGGTGAAATTATGTCCGACCAGAAAGATAAATATAGAACTAGCCTCCTTCAAAATATATGATTTGTATCTATAGAGCTTATCAAAGAGTAGATATGTCTTGTTATCCATGATTTTTTAGCATAGATTTTGTGGTTTACATATTCAAGTGGTCTTTTGGTTCACTGGAAGGGTGGTATTTATTAATAATAACTTTTTTGGGAGGCTTTTTTCTTTTTCTCTTTTTGATTCAGTGAGGCTAGTTCTGTATTTATATTTCTGTCCAGTTATTCATGTTTATGTGTGTTTCCTGTAAGACTTTTCATACATATTGTTTTGCAGAATTATACACATTTTGGTTAAGTTTTTATTCTGTTGTTCTCAAAGATAATCCGACGATGCATATATAGCTGTCAAATGCCTTTGGTTATCTTAACATTGTAAGATTTGATATTTGTAGCATACAGCATTCTTTGAGAAAACAAACAAATGTGTGCTTATAACTCTTGTCTAAGTTTTAAACTAACTCATAGGGCAATAGCGATCGTGTTTTAGAACTTCTCCTTTTGAACATGATATTTCCTTTGTTTTCTTATATTGGCAGTAAGTGCTTGAAAATGCAAAACTGAATACTTGTTTTATGCTACTACAAGCTAATGCCTTACTTTAAATGTACATTAAATTCCCTTTTTTATTTGTCCATCTTTTGTAGGCAAGATGTTATCCCCTGTCATTCAAGAGAGGAGCAAGAAATTTCCACATGTCACCACTTATAAAATTGACATTGATCAGGTCTGGAGGCCTTTTCCCTTCTTACTTCATTTTTCATTCCTTAAGAAAATCTATGATCCTTCATAATCATTTATGGAGCACATGGTTTCCAACCACTAAATTTTCAATCTTCACCAATGACCATTATACACACTAGTTACTACTATCAGTCCATAAGAGAAGTTTTCTTATATTTACCAGAGTTTCCTTTCTTTTCTTTCTTCCTTTTCTTTTGGTTTTCTTCACATACATGCATAAATATACAATAAAAGTATATTTGAACGTGCATTTTTTGGTCTCTTCCTTATCCATTTCTTTTAGTTTCTTGTGTTTAGTTAAAAAAATTATGTATCATATTTTCTGAGCTCCTTTGTTATTTTTGTAAAACTTTCAATTATATCTCCGTTCTTCTTATGTTGCTATTTGTGCTAAGGATGCTGCAAATATCTAAGTTGGAGAGATTGGCTTCTCAATTTTGTTATCCTGCTCCAACAAATAAACATAGAAACTGTTTCTTCTGTGGCATCTGATATAAGAATGGACTAAAATGTCCAGCATTGTTGATAGGCTAATATTCAGATGGAAAAGGTGAGACATAACTTTTAGTGGAAGTCAAGTTTATATTTGTTATGGCCTTACTTTTTAGCAGTAGTCGGTAGTAACTCTTTCAAGTTTATATTTGTTATGGCCTTACTTTTTAGCAGTAGTCGGTAGTAACTCAAGTTGACATCTTAAGTACAGTTATTGTCTCTTTCTAAACAAGGATTTGTTATATATCCGCATTCAGTAATATAATCTTCTTTGGAGTGTAGTTGGTTGTGGATCTTTATTCTGTGCTGATGGTTGCTACTTATTCCAGTTGAAACTAATGCTTCTTTACCATAAACGGCTTTTCTAGGTCTATTATTTCATTTGTTCTCTTATTCCAGTTGAAACTAATGCTTCTTTACCATAAACGGCTTTTCTAGGTCTATTATTTCATTTGTTCTGTTGCTTTCTGCAGTTAATATTATGTCTTACCATAAACGGCTTTTCTAGGTCTATTATTTCATTTGTTCTGTTGCTTTCTGCAGTTAATATTATGTTATTGTAAAGAAATTAGTGTAGAGTAATCCATGAAACAAGTGGTTTTCAGGAGGGCCTTGGAAGCATATTGAGCAAGCTGCAAATTTATTCTGTGGTAAGTTTCTTGTTTGAAACTGATTCTTAAACTAATAATAGATTATATATTGTAATTCAATGTCAACATATATCATATATGCTTCTACTTTGAAAGAATCCATCCCCCGGTTTGACATGTATGTGACAAATCACTTCTTGGTTATTCAGGGGCTATTTGCCAACTCCTCTAACATGCTTCAGTTTTACGAAATTCTTTTCATTTTGACACTCTTACGATACACCTTGAAACACATTTTAGCAACTTCTTGATATTTGTTTAATATGCATTGCATGTGTCGAAGTATGGCTGCCTTCTGATTTTCTTGTTAACATAATCTTTCACGGAAAACCCATCAGGATAATATACCATATTAAATTTTGGATATCTCATCGTAGACAGGAATAAATTACATTTATTCCTTCCAAATTTTAAGCAAGTAAATGATCCCTATATAGCTTTTTTTCCCCATCGGTTTTCCCTCTCAATTTGCTGAATTTTACGTACTTACATGATCATGTGCTGATCACAAGTGACATGACAATTTTCTATGACAAATCACTCTTGTTCTTAGTTCTTACAAATAATCCTTCATAGCATAGAAAGAGAGAGGATAAATTACTTGAAGCTCTCAAAAAATAAATAAAAATATTTAAGTAACCTTTGCCTATCATTTATCTTATTTATACTCTGCATTCAATATCTAATCCTAATTCAGGGTGTGTTCGGCAACCATTATAAAACTAGGCTAGGATCAGTGCTGAATAGTTTTATTCTTAACCAGGCCTCGGTTAAACCAAGGGGGGCTGGTCCATCAAGGAAGTAGTTTAAAACTCACTTTTTAGCTTAAGAAAAACTGCGGCGCATAGTGCCTATTTTTCTCCCTGCCCCGCCCCCTCCCCCCCCCCGAAAATGATTAGGATCATTCCTAGTCCCCGTTCGAGGAGTTTCCAAGCATGCCCTAATTCTACTGTTATTCATTATTCAAAGTCTCATCCTAAGGAGGCGTCCTTTTTTGTATGACCTGCATGATTAGTTAATAATTGCTTCTTGTTTTTGTTACTACTTAACATGTTTTACCATTTTATAATTTAAACATTAAATTGTTTGGTTGAATTTTTTTTTATTTTGAATTTCATATTTAAAATCCAGAGCTTATTGATTTTAGGACTTAAATATGTTGGACGAAAAGTTAAGATAGATACATTAACATGCTGTACTTTATTGTAATATTATAATATTCTTAAGGGAATAATGGATATTGGATATTAGCTAGCGTCTCTTTTAGTAAAATGAGTTACCAAGACACTAGAGCAATGAAGTCCACCTCTTATTGTGACGCGCGGGGGTGTGGGGGTGGGGGGCCTCATTATGATCATATCTCTTGCTAGGTCATTTAGCAAAACGAGTTGCCGCCTCATATTCATTTTTTCTTATTATTAAATATTAATACCTTAGCTGATTAAACCAAATGTCTATTCACTTTATTATTAAACACCCTTACCTCCAATGATTGCCTTCTAATTTTTAGAGAGGTTTTCAGCAGGGGAGGGAGATTAAACTGCTTGGAAAAAAGTTTTAGGGCAGGGTGACATGAAAGTTCACAGGCTATCCTAATTATTATTCAACCATATCAAATGTTTCTCATATGTGATAACTATTTTCTACTCATATAAACACAAACGGTCATATTTTCTATTTTTAGAAACTGAAAAAACATGTTTTGTATGGTATTTTTCTTGTCATGCACTGTCTTCTTGTATTACTAGGTAGGCCTTTCTTTCATGGGTGCATATGTTACTTTTATCATCTTATGTACACCATATATGTATCAAGTGTTTAAGACTTCCAGTTCCCACATCTGTGCCTCTGTCCATGATGTTGACTTTTATCTTTGTCACTTAATCTCTCTACCTTTGACAATTTACTGAAAGTTCCTGTGATGTGTACACTCATTGTATGCAGCTATTATGGAAAATTGTTTTCCTCTTATTAGTTCCTCATTAGGTGTAACTAATGGCATTTAGTGGCCTTTGCGCAGGTTAATTCTTTTTTCTTTGCCTGTTGCGTGTTGCCTCAAAACTTATTTGCTCTAGGGAACCGCTAAATACCTTCCATGAATACTAGCAAGCTGAAACCTGCTAATTGTTTATCGTGTTGGTAAATGTCATAGTTATGCAGTGTTGAATTCCTTAATTGAAATGAAATAAATCAAAACATAAGAGCCTTATCTTCATATCCTAAATCGAAGTTAGATTAATTAGCAAACAATTGTAGTCCAAATGACATAGCACGCAGTGGGAAGAGCAGAGGTGTGTGAGAAATAATTGATTTATTCTCTTTTTTCCCTCATACATTTGGATGCACTCTGGCACTGTTTAGATGTTGTTCCTGTGACTTATTTATTTATTAATATAATTTTAAGGAGATGGTATCCTGATGGTGGTCTTTTTGCAGCCTACGCTTCACTTCTATCAAGATGGGAAAAAGGCTTCTGAAATGATAGGTGCTGATGTTGCACGTCTTGACCGCACTATGGAAAACCTTTACAAGTAAGTACTTGTATCTGAAGTAAATAGTTTTATAGCATGTAATTTGTTATGCATATGTGGTATTAAAGAGAGATTTGTGGTTAACTCTCACATCTTTTTCCTGTTTTATCTTATGACTGCATTGTTCTTTTGGTTCTCTTATTTGATACTCTTAGGTCTCATCTTTACATCTTTTGTATTGATCTCCACTAACAACTAGAGATGGGAGTGCACCGCCATTGTCAGTGTTTTCCCATTGAGTCCTAGACAAAATCTCTATCACGGCACCTGCCCGTCCAATTTTTGATTTTTTAATTTATAACTTTTAATTAATTAATTAATTTAACCCATTCATCACTATCCATACACGGCCAATTTACTAAATGAGTGTACTTTGACTCACACCCACCCTGCTAATAGGAAGTCAATCAAACCTGATCCAAATAACGACTATGAGAAACTGTAAATCACTAGCTAACAGAATGCTCTCTTAGTGGTAGGTTGCACTAATAATACTTATGTTCTCTGTGGTATTAACTATCATTTTGGCCTTTTACGAGTAAAATTATAGTGTTTGAGATTTGCTCCTTTGCTAATCATAAAAAATAAGTAAAGGATTAGCCACCTTATTCTTAAGATGTGTTATATTTAGGGGTGCAAACGGATCGGATATGATACTTAACCCTTACTATGTATGGATATGGATTTAAATGTGTATAATTGCGTAAAAAAATCATATCCATATCTTCCACAGTTAGTAATGATACCAAATGGATATAAGAGAATAGATAATATATAGTTTGAAAATAATAAAAAAAACAAAAGGATACATTGTGGCTATAGGCATAAAATCAAGATTACATTCCACGACTTGGGTTCACTTGTCCTTGAACACAGTGCAGTAGTGAATTGGAATGCGTCCCAATGTGACCCAGTTCATCAACTTTGTTACTTTGGTGACCCGACTTGGAATTCAAATTTGCTCGATTTGGAATTCAAGTTAGTTAATATTTTGAGAAAAACCCATTTTTGGGAAAATAAACTATAAAAATTTACCTTAATTACAGCTTGAGAATTCTTTCACCATTGTTAATCCTTGAATTTGACTCTTGCAGAAAATTGTACACTAAGACACTCAGATTTACACATCATACCCGATTCCCAATAAGCAGTGTACCATGCTCCAGTTCCCGTCCCATGAACTGGAACAAACGGGGTTCCATGCATCTATGTTCAGAATCTTAGTATTCTGCTAGCCTTCTTCTCCACGTGTGAAGATTCATTTCCTCTGGAAAAAAAAAGAGCATACGTAAGAAAGAAGCAACACAATAGCAATATATACATCCTTCGCTAGGGTAGCCACCTAATGGATACAATTCAAGGCTAGACTGAGAAAGTGTAAGGAAAAGATATAATAAAATAAAGATGTACTGAGAGCAGGGTGCTTCTCCAAGATCATGTCAAAGCACTATAAAGGTCCACCACTAGGCAAGATTCTACTTATAAGTACACAAATCAGATGGTCTTTTGGGACTTGCTGCGGGAGTCGCCCAATAGCACAAATCCAGTTTTGGATCCATTTTTCTTGAAAAACCAGATCCATATTTGTATCTGCTCTAAAAATGAAAAGGGAATCCGGATTCGGGTTAAAATCCCATTGGTTTGTGATTTCAATAACTGAATCCAAATCTGTATTCTGTAAACAGATTCAGATCGTTTCGGATTTATCAGAACTGTTTTGCATACCTAGTTATATTAGCTTATAAATTATGTCTGAAAACACTTCATGAAACATCACTAAACAAGAATGAGTCATTTTAATATGGTTTCATTTTAGAAATGTACATCCACAGAGAGAAATTGCCAATCTTTCTTTCTCAGCAGCTGCATAGAGACTACTAGGCTTATTATTTATGACTTATGTGGATACAAGTTGGCAATATTTCCCTCAGTTTACACAAAACATCATCAATATGTAATCTGTTTCTATTACCTTAAAATCTACTACTACGAAATGATAACCTATTTGTGTGTGTTTTGTTCCGTTATGAAGAAAAACTTGATTCATAGCAACAGGGAAGTTATTTCTATCATCACAGTACTGTAGAACTCTTAACTATCAACCCCAACATCTGTAGAAGTATTATAATCCAGGAAGCTACCAATGACAATTTTGAAAGCCCTTTCTCCTGCCTCAGTTCCAAAACAAACAACAAACTTTTGTTTCAATAAAGAAATATATTCTTTTACCAAAATACATTATATCCTGACATCAAACTTGTAGTGTCAGCATCAGCAGCCCAAGCTGCATCTATAAGAAATCATTGCATACATCTTACAGATTATAGTTTTGACCTTTCACAAATTTAAGCCCATGTATTTTACCTTTAATATGCCTCATAATCCAAGTGATTGAATATCAGAGCTTTCATGTATTGCAAAATCTATTTAGTTGGAGAAGTATGTCTGATTACTAACTGGTTCAATCAGTCATATTTAATTTCTCTAACAGGTTGATGACATATTTATATTGGACATCTTCAGTTGTTCACTAGGACGATCAAGCTCAATCTCTTAGAAATAATCTATCGGTTTTAAATCCTTCACTCAAAATGTGTTGATACTTGAATATTTTTTAATTCTTTATGACGTTCTCAATGCCAGATTTTAGGACAATGTCATCAAAACACAAGAATGATTCACCAACACGTTGCCTTTAGCTTACATTGGGAGGAAAAAAAAAAGTCCCACTGCAGATTTTCTAAACCATACTCTTTAAGTGCTTGCTGAAACTGTGAAACTACATTTGTGCTTGCTTCAAGCCATACAATGACTTTTTGAACTTGCAAACATTTTTGTGTGGATTAGCTTCAATGAAACATTTTGGATCCATAAAATTACTGTTTTGGTATAATCAATTGAGAAGAGCATTCTTCATATTAGGCTTATACAAAGGCCAACCATATGATAAGGCAATAAATACAATAACACATAAGTAACAATCTTTATCTTTACTACTGGACTGTAGGTCTTTTTTGTTTTTCAGTATCTTCTCTCTCATGGCTTCAGTCCATTTGCCATATGCTTTCCAGCTCCTGAGTAATCAATAATTTTTTATGTTTGTATCTGTTTGTAAGAAAAACTGAAAATATGTTGTGAAACGTCCATAACCTTAGTAGGATCATCGATACTTCAAAGTAGAAAGCATAGCTGTACTGGAT